GCTACATTTTTTTTTATCAAATAGGCCAATTGTTATAACATTGCAGGGAGGGTGGATATTGGTCCAAAAATGTTATGAAAAAATAAATGACTACTTTAAATGGTAGTCTAAAAAACGCATTCTTTTGTCAGAAAGAACAGCTACATTCGGTCACATGCCATATTACTAGAGAAGATATATACAGCCCAACTTTGATCTTTTATGACCATTTTGGTTGAAAATTAAAAGCTGTATTGGGAATCTTCTCATTGAACTAGATCACTATTAAAGAAACAAAACTGATCCCCTTATGCATTCTGATCACTAGTGCTATTCTCAAACTCCTATCATGGTGCTGAAGCAGTCAGTTAAGGAATTACTAGTTAAGAGTCGTCCTGGGCTATGAATTTAACCTAGAATATGCTGGATTCATACCTGAAGCTCAGCAGAATATAGGTATTAGCAGAAATGATTCAGTGAAATGTAAAAGATTTGACTCTTCCTTTGACCAACTTTAATTGGTATAAATAAGCAAATGGCATGCAAGTTGCATGGGGAATGTTCATAAAGAAAATTAGTGTTTGGATTCAGGTATAAACCAAGTAGAATAACAAATCTAAATAGAATGAGCAAAACAAATAAGTCAGTTGTTATTTAAAAGAACTTAATACTGGGGTGCCTGGGTGGCTCAGTTGGTTAAGCATCTGCCTTTGGCTCAAGTCGTAATCCCAGGGTCCTAGGATGGAGCCCCACATCAGGCTCCCTGCTTAGGAGGGAGTCTGCTTCTCCCTTTGGCTAGTGCTCTCTCTCTCTCTCACTCTCAAATGTCTAAAAAACAAACAAAAAAAGGAACTTAATACCAACAATATTATGCTCAAAAATTCCTCCAGGCTTCAAAAAGAATATAGGTTAAATGCAAGTTCTAACATCACTTAGATTATCTTCTATGAAATTATAAACAATGGTTTTAAATTTTAAAATATCTATTTTATAATCCTATGTTATTTTTAAATTGCAATGCTTTAGCATGAGTTTGAAAAAAAAGTTAAGGAAAAGCACTAGTCTCAGCACAGTAAAAATAGTAACAATAATGGAAAGAGCTACAATTATTAAATTCCCACTATATTTTTATTTTTTTCAATTATCAATTTTTGAGGAACCCCCCCGTACTGTTTTCCAGTGGTTGCACCAATTTACATTCCCACCAACAGTGCACAAGGGTTCTCCCTTTCTCCACATTCTCACCAACATTTATTTCTTATTTTTTTAATAACAGTCACTGTAACAGGTATGAGGTGATATCTTACTGTCGTTTTGATTTGCATTTCCCTGATGATTTTTGATGTTGACCATCTTTTCATGTTTCTGTTGGCCATCTGTATGTCTGTTTTGGAATAATGTCTATTCAGATCATCTGCCTCTATTCTAATTGGATTTTATTTATTTATTTAATTTAATATTTATTTATTTGAAGAGAGAGAGCACAAGTAGGCAGAGCAGCAGGCAGAGGGAGAGGGAGAAGCAGGCTCCTCACTGAGCAGAGAGCCTGATGTGGGGCTCGATCCCAGGACCCTGGAATCATGACCCGAGCTGAAGTCAGACGCTTAACGACTGAGCCACCCAGGCGCCCCTATTTTTTTTTTTTTGCTATTAAATCTTAAGAATCCTTTATGTATATGGATACTAACCCCTTAAGAGATATATGATTTGAAAATATCTCATATCATTCAGTAGGCTGCCTGTTCATTTTGTTGATGGTTTCCTTCACTATACAAAAGCTTTTTAGTTTGATGTAACAATTCCACTACTGGTATTTATACAAAGAAAATGAAAACACTAATTCAAAAAGGTGTATGCATCCCTATGTTCACTGTAGCATTATTTATAATAACCAAGATATGGAAACAACCTAAGTGCCCACCAATGGATGAATAGATAAAGAAGATGAGGTATATTTATATAATGGATGACTACTCGGCCATAAAAAAGAATGAAATCTTGCCTTTTGCAACAATATGGATGGACCTTGAGGATATTATGCCAAGTGAAATAAGTCAGACAAAAAAGACAAATACCATATGATTTCACTTATATGTGGAATTAAAAAAAACAAAACAAATAAAATGAAACTAATAAATATAGAGAACAGACTGGTGCCTGTCAGAGGGGAGGTGTTTTGGGGATTTGGCAAAATAGGTGAAAGTAGTCAAGAGGTGAAAACTTCCAGTTATAAAATAAATAAGTCATGAGGATGTAATTTATAGCATGGTGACTACAGTCAATCATATTGTATTAAATATTTGAAAGTTTAAATCTTAAAAATTCTCATCACAAGAAAAAAAATCTTTAACTTGGAATGGTGAACTAGTTACTAGGCAGTAACTAGACTTATTGTAGTGATCATTTCTCAGTGTATACAAAATTGAATCATTATTTTGTACACCTGAAGCTAATATGTTACATGCAAATTAACCTGCCCTGGGTCACACAAATAATACACGACAGGATAAAAAATTAAATATTCACTGCCAAACAATAAGGTTTTAAAATGAGGCTTGAGGCCCTCCCCCCCCTTTTTTTATACAAGCTTTAAGGCATATGAAACCCTAGAAACGTCTCTAAGGAGGCTCCTAATAAATGATTGTGTCTAAGCATCCTTACCTTTCATATGAGAAAACTGAGACCCAGGGAATAATGTCACTTCTCCAGGACATTACTGGTCCTTTCGTTGTTTTGAATAAAGCAAAATAAATTTTGCTGCTTAAAAAAGTTTTAAAAACTACTCAACTCAATGGAAAATTCTCGATATATCTTAATCTAGAAAAGTTTTAAGAAGGCCTTAATTCTAAAGGAAGAAAATTAAAGGGTCCTTTACCTACTTTTTAATGATATTTATATGAGAAAAGACTTAACATCTTCTATGACTATTTTTCAGTGGAAAATGGGGGGGAACCCATCCAATGGATCGTGACATCAACCTATGACTCATAAACTGCATTTTAAAAAACTAAAAATAGAATAAAAAAGTCTGATAAATGTATTATAAATAGCTAGGGCCAAGTATTGCTTCATGAAATCTATGTTGCTTATGCTGCTGTACACTCAGTAATGATGTAAAATGTATTTCTAGCATAGGCCTCAATCAAAAGAGAGTGAAAGCTACAATTCTAGAATCCCAAGACATTTTCCATATGTAATGTATCTGACATGAAAAGTTATATAATTATGTTGTGATGATTAACATTTCCAGGGTCTATATACCTGAAATATTTCGCTTTTTGTAATCATAGTAAAGTTATTGACATGCTGAAGAGCCATATCTATCAGAACATGCAAAGAAATTCTAAGAATATAGACTGATCAACAGTTTTCCCAAGAAACATAAACATAAAACTATTTGTGAAGTAACAACACAATGTTTAAAGAAAGTATCTGAAAGAAACTATGGCTCCTTGAAGAAATGGTTACTCTAAGTCTGGGCAGAAAAATACAAGATGAATGTGGAACATCTTATCTCAGAAAGCAAAGAAGCTATCAGAGATTAGCTTATGTCAAAAGCTGCAGGAGTCAGCTGAAAAGTTTCCCCCTGATCAAAGATGGGACAACTTGGCTTCAAAGAGAATAAGTGTAACAGATTGAAACACAAACATATACAAAAATTCAAGAGTTCAAATAAAAGAGAACACTGATTACCTCCATGGTTGCTAGGATATCAACTCATTATTCTAAAATTGGGTAAATAAAAGAATCTAGCATTTTTTTCTCCCTTTCCTCCATCAATTTTTTTTCATTTATATCCACAGTTCATGAAGGAAAGTTCCTCTTTGAGAAAATTCAAAGTTTAAAAAAAATGCATGACAGGGGCGCCTGGGTGGCTCAGTCATTAAGCATCTGCGTTCAGGTCAGGTCATGATCCCAGGGTCCTGGCATCGAGCCCTGTGTCAGGCTCCCTGCTCCTCGGGAAGCCTGCTTCTCCCTCTCCCACTCCCCCTGCTTGTGTTCGCTCTCACTCTGTCCCTCTCTCTCTGTCAAATAAATAAACAAAATCTTTTAAAAAAATGCATGACAAATTTAGAAAGTCACCAAATTATAATCCCTAATGAAATACTTATCAGTGATAGCTGTTAAGACCATTAGATAAAACACTGATAGGGAATGTTATAATGGATGAATTAGGCTGGCAACACCTGAACCCACTGATCAATTTTAACATAACTGTAAGTGGGACAAGGCCTCTTAATGGGAGACAGTAGGAAGTATCCATAATCAATGTGAAGTATTACTGCCTAAAAAAGAACCTGAATCAAATCAGGCCTCTAGATCTACCAATTGTAGGAAACAGGGAATAGAAAAAGATGTTTAGAAAGACAAAGATGCAATTAGCTAAATTAAAAATATGGGAAATTCTACAAGATCTGATTTCTTCAATAAACAATGGCAAGAAAAAAGTAGACAGGAAATCATTAAAGATTAAAAGAAACTTAAAAGATTCACTTAAATGCAACACTGTAGACCTTGTTTGGATCCTGATTTGCATAAACAAATTACAAGATGACATTTTCATAATTGGGGCAATTTGAATACAGACTGGATACCAGATGATATTAAGGACTTATTTTTTATTTTGTTAGACATGGTAACAGTACTGAAGTTTTGTTATACAGAGATAAAATATTTTTTTAAAAATCTGTAAGAATAACGCATGACCTATATAGAAATCCAGTTAGTAGGCTGACAGTCAGCAAACACTTTGACAAATAGATAGTTTCTTTTCAAGAAAAACATTTCAGTTTTGTGGTAGGTCCTGGAATTCCAAATCACTAAAACACACTGTCCCCCAACTTCCTACTTTCAATGGAAGGTATTAAGGATACCTCAACTGGGTAAATGTCAGTTTTGTGTCTGCTTCAGGATGTTTTTTCCATTTAAAATGTAAACTTATACTCTACATACAGTACTTTAAAATGTCACAAATACATAGTAATACTATGTCACTATAAATGCTGTATTAAAAAACTTACAAAATAGCAGAACTGTAAGACGAGCATGTTTCATGATCTTCTTGAATCACCAAATTTATTTTCTTCCCTGTAGCTTTACTTATAGAAGTCTTCAGTTTCTTAGCTAGTTTTTTTGGTGTGTTGGTTATAGAAGATTCTTCTGTACAGCAGCTATATACCTCCACCTTTATCTGAAAGTCTGGCCCTCCTTCATTACTAAAATCAAGAGCATTCATAACATTAGAAACTTAATTCAGTAGAAAATAAAACTGGAACATCCTTTGGTGTTTTCATAACATTTAAAATCACAATTTGAAACAGGTTTATGTTAATATATGTTAATGAGACAGAATCTCCCTGTGTTAATTATTTAGTATCTAAATGACCTCAGAGAGTCAGGGTAACTTCCAGAGCTACCAGCTTCTAAAGTAGGGACAAATTAACACAATGCGATCAATATATGTAGCACAGTCCCAAAGAAAAACAATGATATGCCCTGGTCATCTTGTTGCCAATGCTGTTTTCCTGATGTCATGTCTTCAGTTATACCTTTTTGTAAGGTATTTACATAATATGTGTGATTTTCTGAAATAACTATTCCTCCAAAAGGAAAAACTTATAAAACCAAAGAAAAGGATTTTTCTGCTGAAAACTTCAGTGTTCATTTCTTTTTCATCAAGAGTCACAGTCCAATCACTACCATGCCCTCCCCACCCCACCTTTGTACCCAATAACTCTAAAATAATGCTGCACTGTTTGGTTATCTAGGGGAAAACAAACACACAAGCAAGAAGCAATACAAAGAGCTATATACTACAAGGCAGGAACTCCTTGAGGGAGAGTGCTGCCTTGGTAATCTCTACATTCTTAATCTTGCATAAAAGGTACTCAATACACTATTATACTCATATGCAAAAATTTTGCACTTTTAGCAAATGTAAGTCTGGCTTTGCACTTTTTCAGACACAATGAACTACCTTTACCATAAAAGATTGTGGTGGTATTACTAACAAAATTTATTTAAAACCACAAGAGATCCATCAGCAGTAGATGTTGCCTTACATGGAAGATCCATCAGTCTCAGAGATTTTAAATGGCCAATCTATACTTTGGATACATCCAAGGAGTAACTCCCAGATATTTTTATAATTTACTTGGCAACCTTTAAACATACAGTATTACTGGTAATGACTAACAAATGTCAATATTTAGAGAAAAACCAGAGATTCATAAATATTGAATACTTATTAAAAACAATCATAACAAAAGCACATTTTTAAACATTTAGAACATTTGTCAGCAGTTATTTTTGGAACAATTTAAAATATTTACAGAATTTTTTAAAAATTATAAATCATGTGGTGTCTTCCGAAGTAACTTGCATTGTTCTCTCAATGAAAAAAAAAATTGTGATTTTGTCTTTGTGGTAAAAGCAAAGAATAGCAAAGTGATGTGAAGAAAAGAGCCCATTAAGAGGACAGTTTTGGTAGAAAAAATGCACTAGCAAAAGTTGATTATGGAAATAAAAGTAGTTAGATAACCAAGGAAAATTATTCTTTTAGTCTCAGTTACATAAGCATTTGGTGATATTTTGAGGATCCTAAATAAATTCCTTTGTTCAATAGTTTGTAAGAAGGCCTGCACAACTGCTAATAACTCAGAACAATGTGTTTTATTTTTCTGTGCTACACAATTATTTATGGCATACTGGACAGAAGCCACAAAACATGGTTTGCAATAGTTTTCCTAATGTTATGTGAGTGGCAAAACTACTCTCCAATCTCTACTGTTTAGCTCCATAACTGAAAATGGCAAAAACCATGTACATTCAGTTTTATTTTAATAGTTAAGTAGCTATTAATATTTAGATACAAAGACGTGTTTTTGAAACCCTGAAAGAAATACAAATCACACACTGAGTTAGACCAATAGAACCTCTGAAAGAGGCCAGGAAAAACTTATGTTGGTTAAAAATGATTTCTATGGCTACCTGAGGAGTTCCTTCTGGTTCTGTATTATGACCACAATAAAATGAGCCTGTAAAAGAGCAGGGGCAATAAAAACAGCCCTAAGGATCACCCAATTTTTTACTGTTTTGGAGTACACGAAAGAAGTACACTGTAAGAAAAAGAACATCTCGAAATTTTACCAAAGTGCTTTCTCTATGGTACATATTTCAGGACAATCTTATAAATAAAGTTGTTATAACTATTTTAGCATTTCTGTAACTAAATATCCCATATGAGATGTAAGAACCTGTTTTATGCTCAAATTCACTTTATATAAAATAATGTTATAATGAGATTCCATTGTATTCACAGCTTGGTTAATAATGAAACTATACATGTATAAAGAAACTAATAAAAATTTATCATATCCAATGAGTAAAATATTTACTACTCATATTATATGATTTCTACTTTATTTTACATTGAAAAATTTCAAATGCAAAAATGGGCTTCTTCTGAATAAAGTAATTTTCAAAATCAATTTAAACATTTAAAGATCTTAATGCTTCAAAAATAATCCAAACCCAATAATTTTGCCTTCCTTTAAAGGTAGAATTTTAAATTGTTCTCATTCTCTGAAGATTTAAACATACTTACAATATAGTTACATTTTCAAAACATAGATCTGTGATTGTTTTATCCACAATCACCATGTCAGTATCAAAAACTTCAGCTCCCATTTTGAATAAACAGAAAATGGCATACTGCTGTGATCCTAGGGAAAAAAGAGTGCTCCATGAGATGAATCATGCCTATATCATGTTGAAATCTACTTGAAAATGACAAATTATCTCTAATATCTGTTAAAAGTTTTTTTTTATGATTTTATTTATTTGAGAGAGAGAGAGAGAATGAGAGAGAGAACATGAGAGGGGGGAGAGTCAGAGGGAGAAGCAGACTCCCCACTGAGCAGGGAGCCCGATGCGGGACTCGATCCTGGGACTCCAGGATCATGACCTGAGCCGAAGGCAGTCGCTTAACCAACTGAGCCACCCAGGGCGCCCTTGTTAAAAGATTCTTATTTTCATATATATTACACTGTAATCAACTTTTTATAGGGACTGCTCTGTCAGTCTATGTTAACGCCTTTCCCAACCAGAACAAAGCAATTAAACCAAGGAATATCAAAAAATACAGCTGAAAATACAGGCCTCTCAGCAGCCTAAAGCAAGCATCACATTCATAAATTTTATTCCTAGAAACTCTTTAGACTTTCATTAATAGCCAATTTATTATTGTATATATACTATTACTGCTGTCATTTTGGTTTCCAAGTCTATTTAAGAAGAAGTTTTCTATTATAAGAGGTTAGGGGCAGGCACGTTAACAACAGCAAAACATTTTCCACAAAACTGAGAGCAAAGGAGGAAACCACAAAAACAATAAAATGTAGACATGTGAACACAAAAAACATAGCTGCTGAGCCTTTTAATTTGGTGATGTTTTTTAAAAGTATTGGGTGATTAAAGGGCTAAAACCTCATTACTGAGAAAGTGTAGCTCTTCAGAAAAACTTATTCTCTATAGTAATCAGAAAGATACACTTAATCCCCACATGTATTCCTTTGTAAAGTAAATTATATTTTCTAATTGAATAACAAATATACTAACCTGACTTTGGATTCTTCATACAAAACTAATTATGCTCAATATGATTCAGTTTTTAAACTATGAGGAACAAAGCTATCACAATAGACAAGAAAGATAAAGGATTATCATATCTTTTCCACTTTGCCTCTAACAGCTAGAAATCATTTGAGGTTAATTTCTATGACCTAAGCAATACATGGATTTGTGAAAATACATGGATTTGTAAATGCTGAAGGGGTAAAATCAGATCAAGCTAAAAATCTTTCCCTCTTAAACCTGTTAAATAATCTGAAGTAACAAAACAAGGCAGAAAAGATCTCCCAGATTCTGGTCAAAAAGAAATGCTGCCTTTACCTTTACTCCTTAAACATTTTCTTTTGTTGTACCCTTCCCTTCCACACAACCTGTTACAGTTCTTGCATGGGTTCCAATCAACAACTAAAAGTACATTAGGTAGGTATTATCTTAATTAGTATCAAGCAATTACAACATAGTTGTACTAAAAATAGGAAAAAACACAGTTCAGCAAGATACAGCTTATTCTGCCATCTGACATCAATTGATTTCAGTGTGGTAGCAGCTTTTTCTCCCAATAATCACAAATTTACTATACCCTAAAGAAAACACTTAAAATATAAATTAAAATCGTACATACGTTCCTTATTGCTGAAGTGATCAGAGTCTTTCCACATTAGTGGTATACGAATATCTATGAAGGAAGGGAAAAAGAAATGACAAGTAATAATCTTGATAAATTTCATTTCTTAGCGTGAAATGAACCTCTGAATTCCATAACGGATTCTGACCATTAAAGCCAATATAAAATTTATTATTTAAATATTCTAACACAGGCAATATTTTCTCAAAAATAGCTTAGACTAGGAACATAAAATCTCTTACAGTTATTTAAATAATTTACTAAAAATCCCTACCAACTATTACTCAAGAAATTATTAAGTAAGGTCTGTAATAAGCTTATGCCATAACATTTTCATTTTGTGATTTGTGTTTTTGCAATAGATGAAATAGTTGAATTTCTATTTTGGGTAAGCAGTAGCAAAAAATGTAGTTAAATACATTTCAAAATCATAAAATAGTAGGTAGAAAGGATGTCAGGACTTCCACTATGCAAACTTTAAAGATGAAAATTAAGTGACTTGTCTAAGATCATTGTTCGTGACAAACAGATCCAAACTTTTTCATTAAGAAGATTTAACTTGTCTATGAAAGAATTTGCAGATCTTTGTATATTCATGTTACAAACTATGGCATTTCCCTTAAGAAATAAAACTAAAAAAAGTAATGCATTCCTTCTTCAAGACCAAGGAAAGGGCATATGTTCTAAAAGTGATCAAAATGTATTTTCTCTCATTCACACATTCTTCAAACCTTAAAGTATTATGTTAATGATCCTTATTCCAGATGTTAATCTAGACCTTTGACACAGTCAAAATTTTTCCTTCCTAGTTACCTCCATTCTTCCCTTTACTTTTAATACTAGATCAACAATTTTCCTCTGACATTCTAACGGTATCTATATATTTTCAAAGAGAATCAAAGTTCTACCAAGTAAATTAAGATATATGAATTACAGCATAACACAGCACAGTAGAAAGCTCAATGATAAAGTGAAATCAGTTTTAATTACTCAGAGTATAAATACCTCAAACCTTTGTGGAAAATTGCTCTGTTCAAGACACTTCCCTATTACACTTAGGATGTCGATATGCATATTTTCATACCTATTAATTATGCCACTTTCAAATAATTACAAATCTTTATGAACATAAGCTGCTTGGCTACATTTATGTTGTGCTTCACTTTAAGTCCTATGATTCTTTGTCTACATATTCATTTGTTTAGAATCCTTTTTAAGGTTCTTAACGCCTATTTCTAATTTCCTTTCTAGAAAAGCTTTATAATACTCCTTCATCCTTACCCGTCCAACCAGGTATGTAATGTATGAGTGTCCCTGCCACTGCTACCTAAGCAGTTTTGATAAAAAAAATATTACTTACTGGGCTCTCTCCATGTGCCCAGCTAAACACTTTATATACATCTCATCTAACCATAATTTTTAGGAAAATATATTTGCTAATTTAACAGACAATTGACAAATTTAGATTTGCATTTTTTTAATTAACAAGAAAAATGTTAATACATTTATCAGCCACCTCAGTGAATGTTTGTATCCATGACCCACTGTTCTTTTTTTTAACATACTGTTTATGCTTTGTACTTTTAAAAGTTAATTATTTAATCTATGTGAGAATTTTGGGGTATATGAGGTAAAATATTCTTCTTATAAAAATAATTGTTCCAGCTCCATTTATATATCTAATAGGCATTCCCTTCCTCATTGATTTAATGATTCAATGGATCTTTCTCATATATGCCATTCTGAGTATCTGTCCTTTGGCGATATGCTTTACAGACCTAACCGAACCATTTAACAGTTACTGTCTATCCTAATAGCAATACCATTTATAACTACTGAATCTTTATAGGATACTTTACCATTTGCTAGAAATATATCCTTCCAAAACATCTTATTCTCAATTGCAAATTTCTTTATGTGAATTTTAGAAATATATTGTCCAAATTCCCCCTCTAATGTATGGTGATTAACATAACATAATCAAATAAAAATAAATAAATAAATAAAACATTTTATTAGAATTCTATTATCCAAATTAATTTGAGAACTGGTAACTTTATAATACTCTGTCCATATATATTCAGTAGCACTATACAGTTACCCTTACGTTTTTATTAAGGTTATTCTTGGGCTATTTAATATTTTTGTTTTTTGTTGTTTTTATTGTAAAAGATCTTTTTGCCATATTTTCTAAGTAGATATTATTGGTTCTGAGAACAGCTTACCACTTTTTGTATATTTACCTTGAATCTAGCCACTTCTACTGATTTCTTTATTAGTTCAAATAGTGTTTCAGTAAATTTCCTTAGATTTTCTAGGTCTGCAATCTATTATTTTAAAATAGTATTCAGTTTCTCTATTTCTTTTCAGCAGTTTCATCTTTCATTCTTGCTATTTTAGCTACAATTTCTTAAATTGTGTCAAAATTATATTGATAATAATAGACATTTTTACTTTGTCCTTGATTTTAATGGGATTGCCTTTATTGTTTTATAATTATGACTTGGCTGATACCCTGTCAAAGAGCCTGCTTCTTGCTTGGCCACAGTTGCTGACTCATTTCATTTCACAACTGTTCTTGTTCACAGCTGTTCTTGTCCTATTAGGGTGGTATTAACTATTTACACTATCTTGGGAGGAACATGAACCCTGAGTTCCTCTGCTATATACCATTAGCCTATGGGTCAGTCTTGCCTTTTCCCATGCCTAGCTACGTCAAATTCTCAAGAGAAGGCACACATTTCTTATCTATTTCCCAGGTGGTCAGGTACTGTTCAGATGACAAAAGATGTGTAACCTACCAACTATGATTTTTAATTCAGCTTCAAATAGAAATTCCTTCCAGATTCTTGCAAATGGTTGGCTCAGTTTTAGCTGACAGTGCTCTTACCTCTGTCTCTTTTTATGTCTTCATTGACACTTTTATGATAAACTGAAAGAGACATACATAATACAATGGCTAACTTGATGCTGTCAACTCCTAAAAGTCTATCATTTTCAGAAGTAAAAACTGAGGCACTTTATGAATTGATTTGGCTTTAGATATTGAATTAGTAGTCAATGAATAAGCAGAGACAATTGCCACAATGCAATTATTTGATATTTAGTAAGAACGATCAGGATATATCTGACTTATCTTTTTATTTTTATAAGGATCTGGCCATGAGTGGTGAAGCTGGAAATGGAAAACCCAGGTATTGCCTGGTAATCAATGTAATCTCAGAACATTAGGAACCTTTGTTGCAAATACTCATTTTGATCAAAAGTCATCCCAATGTCAAAAGAAAATGTATTTATAAAGGTGAATTAGTTTTTAATTTTCTTTGTTTTTATTTCTTACAAATAAACAGACAAGATATAATTAAGGTGAAGCAAAGATGAAGAGAAATTACATATGTATTCCATTTTCTGAGGCTTCCAGTTCCTTAACTTAAAATTATCTCTTGGAAAGAAGGAGCACATGCAGAAATAAGTTTAATTTCTACACTTGAGTATTTGTGGTCAGGAAAATAGTTTTTTTCTCTTACTTTAAATGCTTTTACTTAAGTACTCTTCTAAATGTGCAGTAAATGTTAATATCATGAATTGCTGTAGCAAATAAACTATTATGTCGATAGATGTTAACTCTATCATGTCATTTTAGTCTTCAACAGCAATTTAACATATCTTACTCATGTACTTAGTGGCACTAAATCAGAAGCAAGAAATGAGGATTATGTTTAAGTATTTTTAGAAAATCTCCCTTAAAGATCTCAAATATTTTATTTATTCACATTGAAATGTATCTAACATAGTGCACAACTACTACGTAAAAGTACTGTGTTTGGCATCAGAAGCATATAAGGAGGAATAAAACAAGTTTTATTCCAGTCTTATAATTGGAAATATGAAGACATGAATATAAATAACTATAAAACAAGCAACAGATTTTATATAGTTCAGTTACTTTTCTGAAGAATTTTTTGCTGAGGGCAATTCTTATGATTTAGGACAATTACATCCTATAAAATTCAGATCTATCCTTCCTGCATGAGAATTTTATCCATAAAGACATTTCTAAAAACAGTTTCTTGGGTAAGAGAGCTGAAATGCAGCTGCATGTACCCTGGAGCTAAGAGAACAAGGCCTCCGGCCAATGAAACAAGCTAGTTATGATTTAAGGGCTGATGGAGGTCGGTTGTTCCCAAAATGTACCGATGAGATAATATTTGTAAAAGGTACATTATCTGGCTAGTGTACACGAGTCAGCCTGTGTTCACTTCAATCTGTGGCATCTCCAAGCCACTGTCTGGTTTCCTTAACACTTTGGAGAAACTGAGACAGCACAGCATAAGTGCCATCTAGTGGTAAAGGGTCTCCCATCTGGATTAGGAATTTAAAGAAAGAAAACATCATTTCCAGCTGGAATGATAAGAGGGAAGGCTTTATAGATGAGCAAACAGGTCCTGAAGATAATATAGTTATTTCAAGAGCTAATTTGGTGTCAGAAGTAGGCAGTGTATTGACAGAAAAGGGAGAGAAATGTCTGGCTAAGCAGACAGTTTATGTACAGGAGTAGAAGATATGGCTAGAAAAATAGTTGTGTCAGAATGGAAAACTCTTGAGGGGGAAAGTTTGGTTTTTATCCTATGGAAAACAAGAAGCAGTCATCCATCCAATCAATATCCAATGAGCAATTACTATGTGTAAGCACTGTTTTGGCTTCAGGGTATACAGTGATGAACAAAACATACTTCCAACCCTCATGGAACTTCTAGCCTGGACAAACATTAGAAATGCTACTGAAACTTCTGAGCAGAAAAGGAATGGAGTCAAATATTTGAGTTTGTAGCCCAGCCCAACCACTTACAGGAAGTCTGAGTCTAGAAAAAGAGAATTATCCTACCTACTTCACAAAACTGCACTGAAGAGAAAACTGCATAATATATATAATACATATGAAACAGCTTTCTCAAACTGTAAAATCTTACATAAATGTACAGCAGAGTGATGAAAACAGTGTTTTGGAACAACTATAGATAGAGGTATGCAAAATAAAATGAAGAAAAAGAATGGATGCGGGGAGTTAAAAGCCCACGAATTCTAAGAAGGTACTTAATAGAATTTATTCAGCAATATAAAAACAATCATACCTGATATGGCAATCTTTCCTTTACATGCTGTCCGTTCTTTACTGTCAAAATTCACATCACTGTCAAAAGGAAAAAACCTAATAAAAAAAAGATCTTTTCTAATAAGGAATATTTTAACAATCTTTCACAAATGCCTAAATATTAAAAACAGACACATATCCACGCATAATAATGACTTCCAGTTAACATAAACTGCTTCACTCAAACTTCACCATGTTTAGTCAACAGCTAGCTGCCTTTTAAGAGAAATATATAGAGACATTCTCTTTCATTTTTCATATAAGCTTTACATTCCCTGAAGATTATATACTGGCTTACCCTACAATGAAAGCCTTCTGTGAACACTTATTTATAAGCAAGATGTGCAATATTTGTCCAGGTCCTAGGAAGTGTAATACCTTGGATCACCTTTTGTAAATTACATTTCTAGCTTACCAGATTATAGTTGCCTGAAAAAGCTAAAGAGCTTCCCAACCATGAATTTGCTGCTCAGTAGTACTTTATCCTTATAAAAATCTTACAAATATCAAAAAATTTATTCTCTGCTATATATTTATATGCAGCAATATATATCATTTCTTTGACATTCAAAAAAACTATATACTAAAACAATAAATTAACTCAGGCACTAAAGGAAGGGAGTGGCTCTGCAGAGAATAAAATATGGAGTAAAACATTGTCATGACAATAGAAAAAGTCTCAAGTAAAATTCTTGGTATATAAGACACTCCCAGATCTGACTTTAGAATATACTATTACCATAAAAAAAATTCAAAATAGTTATCTCCTGGTAAATCAAATCAATCCCACCCTTGAATACTTTTCCAATATCTTATTTCCTAATATCCCACATTTAGAAATTAGCATTGCATTTCTGGAGCAATATTTCCCAGAGTATTCTGCTTTGCACTTTTTTGGGGGTGAGGGTGGGTCTCGACTTAATTTGGCTAGCTAATTAACTACTGGCTAATTTAATTAGGTACTTCAAATACGGTTATAAGATTAAAACTTTTCATCTGAAAACACTGTTTGATTCTTTTTTTTATTATGTTAGTCACCATACAGTACATCATTAGTTTTTGATATAAGTTTTTGATGTAGTGTTCCATGATTCATTGTTTGCGTGTAACACCCAGTGCTCCATGCAGAACGTGCCCTCCTTAATACCCAACACTGGGCTAACCCATCCCCCCACCCCCCTCCCCTCTAAAATCCTGTTTGTTTCTCAGAGTCCATAGTCTCTCATGGTTCATCTCTCCCTCCGATTCCCCCCCTTCATTTTCCCCTTCCTTCTCCTAATGTCCTCCATGCTATTCTTTATGTTCCACAAATAAGTGAAACCATATGATAATTGACTTTCTCTGCTTGACTTATTTCACTTAGCATAATCCCCTCCAGTTCCATCCATGTCGATGCAAATGGTGGGTATTCATCCTTTCTGATGGCTGAGTAATATTCCATTGTATATATGGACCACATCTTCTTTATCCATTCATCTGTTGAAGGACATCTCGGCTCTTTCCACAGTCTGGCTATTGGGGACATTGAGCTGCTATGAACTTTGGGGTGCATATGGCCCTTCTTTTCACTACATCTGTATCTTTGGGGTAAATACCCAGGAGTGCAATTGCTGGGTCATAGGGTAGCTCTATTTTTAATTTTTTGAGGAACCTCCATACCGTTTTCCAAAGTGGCTGTACCAACTTGCATTCTCACCAACAGTGTAAGAGGGTTCCTCATTCCCCACAACCTCTCCAACATTTGTTGCTTCTTGCCTTGTCAATTTTTGCCATTCTAACTGGTGTAAGGTGGTATCTCAATGTGGTTTTGATTTGAATTTCCCTGATGGCTAATGATGATGAACATTTTTTCATGTGTCTGTTAGCCATTTGTATGTCTTCTTCAGAGAAGTATCTGTTCACGTCTTCTGCCCATTTTTTGACTTGTTTTTTGGGTGTTGAGTTTGAGAAGTCCTTTATAGATTTTGGAAATCAGCGCTTTGTCTGTGATGTCATTTGCAAATATCTTCTCCCATTCTGTGGGTTGCCTCTTTGTTTTGTTGACTGTTTCCTTTGCTGTGCAGAAGCTTTTTATCTTGATGAAGTCCCAAAGTTCATTTTTGCTTTTGTTTCCCTTGCCTTTGGAGACGTGTTTTGAAAGAAGTTGCTGTGACTGATGTCGAAAAGGTTACTGCCTCTGTTCTCCTCCAGGATTTTGATGGATTCTTGTCTCACATTGAGGTCTTTCATCCATTTTGAGTTTATCTTCGTTATGGTGTAAGAGAATGGTCAAGTTTCATTCTTCTGTAAATAGCTGTCCAATTTTCCCAGCACCATTTATTGAAGAGACTGTCTTTTTTCCATTGCATATTTTTTCCTGCTTTGTTGAAGATTATTTGACCATAGAGTTGAGGGTCCATTTCTGGGCTCTCTATTCTGTTCCATTGGTCTATATGTCTGTTTTTGTGCTAGTACCACGTTGTCCAGGTGATCACTGTTTTGTAATATAGCTTGAAATCTGGCAACATGATGCCCCCAGCTTTGTTTTTCTTTTTCAACATTTCCTTGGCAATTCGGGGTCTTTTCTGATTCCATACAAATTTTAGGATTGTTTGTTCCAGCACTTTGAAAAATGCTGTTGGTATTTTGATCGGGATGGCATTGAAAGTATAGACTGCTCTGGGCAGCATAGACATTTTAGCAATGTTTGATTCTAAGAGAGCTTTTGGAGAAAGACTGGGTGGGATTCTGAAGTGTAACTAATTTTCAGAAGAGTATGACACCATCTCATTGCGTTTCAGTAGGCATGTTAAAAAGATTGCATAGATATTCTTTATTATACATCAAGATTTGAAGACAATATATCAGTCTACTTCTCTTACTCTTACCGGATTAAGCACATAAGCACTTTAGGGAAATATAGTCCATATGAGCTGAAATAATATACTGATATACTTAAGTTGATAAACTTACATAAGACATGTATATAGTATTTATAGAACTACATGTGAGGTATAACTAAAGTAATGTAGTAGACTTAAAACCATAAATTTCTCAAGATCCTATCTAATTTCTTTGTGGTCACATTAGTATTTAAGTTAAAACAGGGAATTCACTAAGTAAAAATAAAAGTATTCACTGATTACTTAAAAATAATGTTTCATTGAATCATAAATTTTAAGAGTCAAGTTCAAAATTTTATACTCAAGTTTAGTTTGTCATGTTGGAGAACATTAGCTTGCTTATTAGTTCATCTCAGAGTGAAAACTTCAATTGACTAGCCTACTCTAAGGCACTCTAGAAATCAAACACAAATCTCAATTTCCTCAAATTGGTATAAGAAATACAATATATATACAGTTGGCTGGCACTTGTAAGTAATATTTCTAAAAACACCTTCTATATGAGCAATGCATAATATAAATTCCTAAAATACTTATTTCAGTGAAGAAATGCAAGAAAGCTCTAATATGGTGAGTAACTTGAGTATTATGGAATAGGTCATAGATTATGCTAAAGTTGAGATCCATTAGGTATTACTAAATTGGATTAAACGTGACGCTTTTGCAGGTAAGTGAAATTCTGAAATATAAGAACCACCAAAAGCAAACTTGCTGAAAATTTAGCACACACACACAAAAAATTCCCCCCAAATGATTTAACCACATGGCAGAGTACATACAGCTTTCTTCTCTGTATTATAATATACTTGCATAGGCATTTCCAGGCCAGCCAACAAACTTATTATACATAAATATTATCAAACTATAATATAAATCCATTTAATCATATAATCTTACAGAATAATTAAATCTGTTTTTTTTTAAATGAGAGACACACTGAACTAATTCAGCCTCATTTTGCTGAAGCCTGAATTATTTTCAATTCAAATAACTCCTCAAACTGTTATTTAGGGTGCTAAAATGTGATGTTTTTCTAATTAATCCAAATTGACAATAAAATTGTTAAACATTCTCTGTTTAATAATGTGCTACTGTAGCTAATAGTTTGCTACAGTTAAATAAATACTTGTTTGAAAATCTGCAATGTTAATGCCAATTCTAAACGCTACAATTAGAGAGCCAGCCTGAGGAAAAAGCAAATAACCACAAAATTATCCAAACAGAGGCACAGCTAAATAGTAGTGTACCTTATTCTTATAAAGCCAGTTTAGAGTATTATTTTGGTGAGACTTGTAAATGCTAATTTAAAAGATAATGATAAAAATATTAAAGACAAACTTTTAATTTTGCTTTTTTACTTAATTTCTGCCTGTAGGTAAATAAAATGACCAACAGAGGGTGCCAATCAACCACTTTGTTGCTCAAAAGTCTGTATTAAAATTGACTAAGTACAGATTATCCTATTTTATATTATTCAATATGGGAATTTAAAAAAGCATTTATTTGCCAAAATTAACAAGGTATAATTATAAATTAAACAACTATGAAAGTATTTTATATTTTCTTAATGAAGTACTAAGAGAATCCTAACTGGGATTCTATTTTTTGGAAGCAGGTTATAAAATCCTTCACCTCTTATGCAAATATGTGAAAACTATGACATTCAGAAGTGCTTAATGTGGAATTTAAAACATCTTAAGTTATGTGGTATAAAATTAATAACTTTCTATATCTTAAATTGGGAAGATGAGGTTTATATTTCAAACCTTGACCTAACAAACTCAATCGACACCAAATAATATAAAGTTTAAAAAATAAAGTCAGTGATGTTTTTAATATACCATGTTTTATTGTAGAATTACCAGGAGTACACAATTTTCACTTGCCATCTATACTTTTTCTTTTTTCAGTTTATTAGTATTTAAGCAATATATTAGGCAACTGGATTATAAGAAACTGGTTAGTGTGGCATTATTAAAATCACAATTACATTGAATGATATACATAATTAGGCACTACAAATGAGTTTGGCTAACGGTATTTTTACAAAACCAAATAAAGTATTTCAGAAGTTAAGACAAGAGATATATTTGCAGGTTGGGATAGAAGAGAATATTATTGCTAGAATGTAAGGTCTGTAAGGATTTCTTTCATCTA